CACTTGCTCAAATCTAGACCAGTAGACCATAGAAACAGAACAGAGAACACATTTTCTAATATTTGAGATTTTAATTTACAGTAAAGATGATATTCTAGCTCAATAGGATAAGGATAGATAATTTAATATATCGTGCTGATATGACTGGCTAGCCACCTGGAATTAAGCAAAAAGAAATTTAAAAAGAAATTCACGTACATGTGATTTCAAGAACAGAGAAAGACCTGACTTCCTAAGACAGTAAACTAAGAAACTAAGGAAGAGATAGACATTTGAAGATGTATTGAATTTCTAAATTTTTGTTGCTAAATAAACTGTAAATTAAGCCAAGAAACAAAATTTTGATTTGGAAAATGCATTAATATTTATTGTATACAAAGACCTTCATTAAGTTGATTAAAATGTTGAAAGGATATGGATAAGTAATTCACAGAAGAGCAAATCTTAGTGGCCAACAAATACATGAAAAGATTTTTCAATTCATCAAGAATCATTACAATAGCAGTAAACCATCACTTTAGAAACATTTGAAAGAACTATAACATCCACGCTGGAGAAGAAACTGGTAAAGTCCAGCAATGCTGGCAGAAATACATTTACAGCATTTTTGGAATGCCATCATGCATTACCTTTCTTTTTTCTTCTTTTGTGTTATCTTTTAAAAGCATATGGTTCCTAAAATGATTAGCCCTACTCTTGGGAATTTATCCCAAAGAACTATAGACAGAAATACATACTTAAACATATGTAGTGATGTACAGTGCAGCATTATTGTTGTAGCAAAAAAGAGCCAAAAGCAGGAGAGTATTTAAATCATAGACAAATTGTTTCACATAATGGACACAGCCATTAAAATGAAGGAATTAATACTGAATTACTTGGAGAGCTTTTCAGGAGGTTGACTAAGTATAAAAGGAGATACAGTTTATAAGTATTTGTGTAAAATAATCAGAAAAGCCTCTTGATATCTTTGTGTTTGAGTGTTTTTTATATGTATTTGTATTGCATGGAGAAAACTGTGGAAGGAAAGATATGTGGTTGCTAACATAGATTAACTGACAAAGAAGAAAGATGGAGAAACCAATGAAAGAATAAAAGCTCCTGCTTTAAGCACATCTCTATCCTAGCATTCAGGAAGCTAACACAGGAGGATCATGAGTTTAAGGCTAGCCTGAGCTACATAGTGAGACCCTATCTCAAAAACAAAAATAATTCTCCAAAAAATAATAGATATGATATACCATGTGTACTTTTATGCATAACTATATACATGTTTGTATATTTATTAGACTTCAAGAAAATAATTTAGGGAATTTCCTTCAGTGTAGCAGATACTAAGTACAATGTAACTCTAAAGATCTTTTAAAAATAATGAAAATATTGGTCAGCCATACTTAAAAGAAAAGCTGTATCAATTCTTATACAGAGAATTGTTTTGTTGTTGTTGTTATTGTTATTGTTTTACTAGGCAAGCACTCTACCACTGAGCCACCCCCTGGTCCTTTTTAGCTTTACTTATTTTTTAGATAGTATCTGGCTCACTTTTTTTCAGATCATGTTCTTCCGACTTGTGCCTCCCTCATAGCTGGATTACAGATGTGAGCCACCATGCCTGCTTGTTTTTTTACAGTGGGGGGGTCTTGCTAATTTTTTGCCCTGGTTGGCCTCAAATCATGATACTTCTGATCTCTACTCCCCAAGTAGCTGGGATTACAGGCTGCCCAGCCATTAATTTTCCTTTATATAAAAATCTTTAAGTATGTTTTCAAATTATGTTATAGTGAATACATTTTTCATAATTTCTTTTATAAAACAAAAATGAAGGCTGGGCTTGGTAGCTCACACCTGTGACACTACCTGTTCTGGAGGCAGATATCTGAAAGATTGCTATTAGAGGCCAGACCAAGCAAACAGTTAATGAAAATCCCATCTTAACCAATAAAAGCTGGGCATGGTGGCGTGTGTCTGTCATCCCAGCTACTGGAGAAGCATAAATACAATCACAGTCCAGGCCGATCTGGGAATAAAAGTGAGATCCTAATTAAAAAAAAGAAAAATCTAAAGCAAAAACTAGAGCACCTGCCTAGCAAAAGTACAAGAGTAAGGCCTTGAGTTCAAACCCCAGTACCACTTAAAAAGAAAAGAAGATCCAAGCAAGGTATTTAAAATTGATTGGTTGGTTGGTTGGTTGGTTGGTTGGTTTAGCAGTACTGGGGATTGAACCCAGGGCCTTAAGCATGCTAGGCAATCACTCTACCACTTGAGGCATTTTAATAATGTGATGTTTTTCCATCATTTATTATTATAACTTTTAACCTATTCTTTTCTGCTTACTAGTATATTTTCAGTGGAAAACTTTGCCTCATTTTAGCATAAAGTTCTGTTAGTGTTTAAAATTTTATGTAGACACTCAGAAGATGACTAGTGATGTGTGAGATGTGTTCTGTACATGGCAGTCTAGAAAAGGTTGCAATCTTAGGAAAACTATTCCCCCACGTTTTTAATCAGAATTTTGTCAAACCTTTAATAAAGCTGAATTAATAGTAAAACAATTTATTCTGTCATTCTTTAAAGGACTAATTCCATCTCCTTTTGCTCCATACTTCTTTAAATTTACTAACCAAGCTTTATGGTGTGAGGGCAGAGATAAGGTTATTATTAAAGACTTTTTAGCTTAGCCTGTGTGCCGCCAGACATAGTTTATTTGCTCCTTAAAACTTTTTTAATTTTCCAAAGTAAGTTCCTGATTCCTCACTAGAATCCTCCAGCTAAAGCCCTCTTTTCTGGTTCTTGTAGTAGAACTCCTGAGATTATGAATCATATACCTTGAGATCACCAGGACTAGTTTGATAAGCTCTGAAATAATGCTGGTAGGTAATTATAGCTACACTTATTTATGCTGCCGTCTGCCATAATCTGATTCAAGCATATTACATATTATTTCAGTTAATTCTCTTGAATCCAATAGGATAGATGGTAATTATCCCAAATTAACACAAGGAGCTGATTCACAAAGACGTTAATTGACTTGCCCATTATCCTCTTCTGAAAGTGTTAACTTATGAAAGTGGACATGGCATTTTAATTTTTCCTGATAGACTGCAAATTCCTATAGCTGCTAAAAACAATAAATGATATCTTTATTTATCTTCATACCAGTCATTATCACACAAGTCAAGTTTTAAGAAACCATCATGGTATTATATGATGTCCTTGGAACTAAGAATAGTGAGGTTTACAGAAATGATTTTTGTGAGACATCTCAGGCAGACAAAAGATTTATGTAGTACTCTCATCTCTAATAAAATTCCTGTAAATACCTACTCAAATAAAGGATTGCTTTTATGCATTTAATGACTTTATACTGACACAGTTAGTAGATGATTTGCTAAATTTTATGCCGTATGTTTTAGAAGCAAAAGTCATAGTTCTTTCTAACAAATGTTAATGCCTATTTTAAATGTGAACTTGCCACACAGGTAGAAAATTTAGGTTCCTAGTGCAGTATTTGAAACATGCAGAATTTAAGAGTGCAATCTGTAGAATATTAAGAAAGTGGCATACAGGCAGTGAGCCTATCACAGCAGTGACTTATCAGAACACTGATATCTACCTTGAAACTTTCCTGGAATGCATTCAGATGCAGTTTTTTTCAATTGTTAATTTTTTTCTTACCCTTTGTAAGCTGACCTCTATTTCCTATCTACTTTTTTCCATCTCCTCAAACCACAGCATCCTATACTGCACCTTTACTCAACTACTTAATTCTCTCACTTTATACTTCTTCACTTTTGTTCTTGTGGTTTCCTTAGCTAGAAATGCACATCTTCAGTCTTCGTTGAATGTCTAAGTCATGTTTATCTTCTTGCTGCGAAATGCATTGGCTTAATGTGGTTGAAAAAAAAATCTTGGGTAGAAACTTTCCATGGCTATTTGTATGTGAGCTATTAAATTTTATGGAATTGGACTCACAGTAAATAAATTTGCCCTTTTTAATACACGTGAGAAATAGTGTGTGGCAGTCGAAAGAACACAGCTTTGGCGTCACAAAAGAGGTTTCAAATCTGTTGAGCTTGGACAGATTGTGTAAGTTCCTGAGTTGTGGTTTCTCTACCTACATAGCTTACTGAGAGGAATAAATTAAATAATATGTGTAAAACATCTAGCAAAATAATTTTATATGATATATGTATGCTATATAATATTTATATTATATATATACACGCACACATATATATATTGTTTTTAAAGGATTGTGTTGTGACTCCAGACTTTATAATAACATGTTTCACTTGGCCATTTTATAAGTGTTTATGGTAGAAAGATAGTCTTTTTTAATTAAGCTACGTTTAAGTTCACTTAGTACAGAATTCATACCTAATTCACTAAAACTTTATTTATAACCCACATCCCTTGGGAAGTTCCTTCTTCTTTCAAGCTGTTTATCAAATGATATTTAGGATTTGCTGTTGGCATTTTGAGATGTTTATAGTAACTATAATCATTTCACAACTTGACACCAGTGAGGCCAATTGCAAAATTATATACTGAAAAAGAAATCTAAATTAAACTTATACCAACAAAAATTTAATAAATTCTAAAAGTGGTGTGTCATCTGTTTTGAATATTGGTAAAAATTACTGAGAATTTTTAGCATATTGTTAGATCTTTACACAGTTATGGAGCATGGTAGTTTTATTAAACGTAAATTCTGTTTTAAAATATTAATAAAAACTTAACATACCTTGATGTTCATTTGCAATTTACTTCTTTTTTTCCCCCTAAGTGACCTAAATCTTCATTTATTCTTACTATTACTTTTTTTGTTTGTTTTTTTGGTGGTAATACTGGGGTTTGAACTCAGGGCTCTCACACTTGCAAAGCAGGCACTGTTCCACTTGTGCCACATCGCTAGTCCTTACTATTTCTTCTATTACTATATAACTTTAAAAACATTGTCAAAGTTTCTGAGTTTTGAGAGATTTCCATTTTTCTTGAAGATTGGGACAGGGAGAAATTACTTGAAGCATGGATGTCCAACCCAGAGAACTGCTGCCAACGATCAGGTGTTCAAATGCCAACTCCACCACCAAGTGGGTATAATGCCTGGGACACACTCCCTTCTCCACGAACTCCGAGGACTACACGCTCTTCTGTCACCTCTCCAGATGAAATCAGTTTATCTCCTGGGGATTTAGACACCACTTTGGTATGGCTTAGAATTCATTGTACTTCCCATAACTTTGTTTCTAGTCTTTTAGCTTTTAGATTATTTAATGCTATTCCAAGGAGTGTCTGGTTGTGTTCTTGTTATTGAATCTTATGCCCTTCTTTAAAGGTTCAGTTATTTTCATGCTTTGGTAAATACTATCACAGCCTATTTTTATGATCTCTGAACTGTAAATCAAAACCAAAAAGATTTTCTTTTCTCATTTCAAAACAGGAGACAGTTTGGGGAACCCATCTGTATTTCACTTAAAAGCTTCCATATGTTTAAACACAACACACTTCAGTATTAAAAATTGAGTTTGTGTTAGGCACTTTAAACCAAAAATACATGAACATCTTTTATAGTTTCTTAAAAGCTGTTAATTTTTAAACAGTTACAATATATTGATAATCATATATTTTTTTCAGCAGAGCTTCTGGAGTTTGTCATCCAGATGGATTTCCATAGTAAATGTTTTCTCATTATTAAGGAACAGAACTGCCTTTGTGTGGGATAAATTGGCATACCATTGGTGTGCTGTGTAGGAAATTTTGATGGTTCTTGAGTGGTTCAGCCACTCAAAATTTGTGACAAATTACGAAAGAATTCCTTGTTTTATGTAGGCTATTTTGGAAAACAGAACCCTATTTCTGTAATTTGCATCTGTAACATTATAAAGCAAGTACTTGTTGAGCAGACACATAGTTTTATATCAGGGTTCCTTGCTTAGAAAGCCTTAAATTGCTACTCGTTTAACATCCTGAGTTGCTGTGCTAAAAACACAAAGTCACTCTGTTCCCAGTGTACAGTAAAGGACATAATACTGAAGTGACTGTTTTATAGCCTGCAATTTGATAATCACCTGAATAGATTGTAATGATTTGTTTTCTTGGACTTCCTTTTCCAACTGCACAGATGCTGATTGATAGGTAATCTTAGAATTTAAGACTTTGACTTTTGCATTAAAACATCTAAATCCCGGGGTTGGGGATTTAGCTCAGTGGAAGAGCGCTTGCCTGGCAAGTGCAAGGCCCTGAGTTCAGTCCCCAGCACCGGGGGGAAAAAAAAGGAAAACATCTAAATCCCACAATAGTTTATATTGAGGTCGTCATAGCATTTGTTTTTCAATCAAAGGTAGGCACTTTAACTGTCCTTATAACTTTGAAACACTTAACTTTTCAATTTTATAATTACCATACTAATTTTTCGCCTTTAAACTAATGAGCAAAATGAATGTATTGTTCTCTCTCCCAAGTATGACCCTGTTTAAGTCATTATTCATCTTCATCTCCAGTGTGACATTTGTATGTGCAGTATTTCTGTATTTGAAGATCCAGTGGATATGCCCTGTGGACATGACTTTTGTAGAGGATGTTGGGAGTCGTGAGTATATGAGCAACTTAGTATCTCTTACTGCATGACAGTACTCTGAGTTGGTAATAAAAATTGTTTGTTTTCCATATTCATTGATACAGATTATTGGTTTCTGTGTTCCCAAAAGTGTATTAACATTTTACTACTAAGGAAGAATATTTCTGTTTTTCTTATTTTGACCTCAAAGAAAGTATCTAAATAATTTTTCTTTGTATTACAATTTATGTTACATCTTCTATAAATTTTAAGCCTAGGCCTTAATATCAAGAATCAGTTTGTCTTGTGTTCTGAGCATTTTATGCATTCATTTTTGTGCTTTCTCTGGTATTTTTTTGTGACAAGCAAATAGCCTTGAAAAATCTATAAAAATATGGATTTTTAAAGTTCCTATTAAGTTAAATCAAAATTAAATGTCTCCACTAGATGTGATTGGGTATATCTTACTAATGAAAAATTTATTTTCCTTCTCATGTTTATCTAGTTTCCTTCCTATTTCCTTGCGTAGATTTGTACTTTCTCATTATCCATTAACTTTGCTCTTAGTATGCAATTTTTAAGAGATTTGTAAACAAATGCAGATCAGTTTAATGAGCAATATAATATCTTGTTATCTCTGGAGACACACAGTTATTATTTGAGGACTTAAGCAAAGTATGTCATTAACATTTAAGGAAATCTTAAAAATAAGTTTCAAACTTTTTCTCATGGAGTACTGAGTACCAATTGTAGGGAGCTAGCAAACACATGGGTAAGAGAGCAAGACCCCAGCACTTCCTCTGGTTTTGGTGGTGGTGGTGGTGGTGATTTTAAGAGCTTTTTGGGTGCAGTTGACATACATAAAACCACATGTTTAAAATAAATATTTTGAAAATTTTTGACATATATGTATACCTGTGAAACCATCACCACAATCAATATAGTGACTATATACACCTCAAAATTTCCCTTCTCTTTCTGCCTCCCTATATAATCCTCCCGTACCAACTCCCCTACACCAAAATCTGTAGTCAGATTACTGGCCTGTCATTTCTAAATATTTTTATTCCTTTTTTTTTTTTAATCTGTTCTCCAAAATGGAATATGATGCAAGATCTTATTTAGAGGGACAAAACTATTGCTTTTTAAGAAAATCAAAGTAAGTAAGAGTATCTGGTTGTTCCCTTTAAAACATAGGCTTGACTTTAAGCATAACAGATAGGACCAGATTAGTGTAGCTGATATAAGTAAACTAATTGCCAAGGGTGTAAAACAATCTTTGATCAAGTTCTGAAGGTAGAAAATCTTCCCCAGGTACAGTACTTTATTTAGCTTAAAATGTATGGCTCAAGTAGTAGAGGGCCTGCCTAGCAAGTATAAGGCCCTGAGTTCAAACTGCACTAGTTAGAAAGAAATAAAGTCATTTTTTAAATCATTAACCTACCGTTGGAGGAAGTCTTACCTGGGTTTTACCAAGTTAGTGAGCTCACTCAAGAATTACTTGAATTTTTTTGAACTTTCTCACCTAACTCCCAGGAACTATCTCCCATACTCATCATAGACTAGTCATGAGAACTTTATGGTAAGATTTAAATTTTAAAGATTTAATTATTGTTTTCCTTGGTATCTTACCAACCTTCGTAAGATTTTTCTCTACCCAGTCCTGCTCGTGTCTTATCAAACACCAGTAAAGCAAGTTCCATGTTGAGTGATTCATATGTTGATAAAAATCATTTTTAAATTAATTGTAGTCTTTGCAGCAACATATAGAAAAGAAACTTGTCTTAAATATCCTTGAATAGTTTGCAAGTCCCTCAGTCTAATTACTCTTCCCAACTCTATCCTATCAGTACAAAGTGTACGGATGCTCTGAGGCATCAATACCTAGAGGTTATTATTTTCTGTCCAGACTAGAATGTTCTTCCTGATAGTAAGGATAAGAGTTTGGGTTCTGTATGTAATAGTCTTCTGTGTTGTGAATTTCAGTTCTGCCATTTATTAATTGTTGATAACAGTTGTTAGGTAAGTGATAACCTTCCTGTGCCTCAGTTTTCTAATTTCTAAAGTGGTGATAAAAGAAAGTACTTCATAATATTGTTGTCAGTTTATTAAGTGACTTAATATATATAAACTTAGTACAGGACACGTAGTAATCATTCAATAAATGTTACTTATTTTCCTAAGCATTGTAATAAGCAAAAAGCTTAACTATGATAGCATCTGACGCTGATGTACTAGACAAAAATGTAGGTAAAGTTTGCACCAAATTTAACTCTTACTAACACTCATCAACTCCATGTTCTACTCATAAACTTAATGGAAAATTGTATCTTAAGGAGAATTAATAACATGATTAACAGGGAACCAAGGTTTACTCCATTCTTTCATTTAATTCAGGGATAATTAAATCTGCTCTGATATGTTTAGAATACATACGATTCAAAAGTTCTTCGTTTTGTAACTATGTCTAAGCAAACTGTGCACTTTCATAGGGACTATATGTATTAAAACAAACTGTAGCCAACTTTCCAGGGAACCTATTCATAGCTGAAAGGAAGAGCTTCCAGTGATGTGAAAAAGGAAAGACTACAGTTAGTAGTTCACAAAGTTTACACTTTTAGAAATTATTGAGAATTAGCTGAGTACCACCAGTGGCTCACACCTACAATCCTAGCTACTTGAGAAGCTGAGATCAGGAGGATTACAGTTTGAAGCCAGCCGGGGCAAATAGTAGGCGAGACCCCATCTCCACAAACAGCCAGAGCAAAATGGACTGGGCGTGTGGCTCAAGTGGTAGAGTGCCTGCTTTGCAAACGGGAAGCCCTGAGTTCAAAGCCCAGTCCCAACAAAAATAAATAAATAAATAATAAAATTTGTTGAGGGTTCTAAAGAACTTTTGTCTTTTAGGGGTTATATCTATCCTTATGAAAAAAATAATATTCATTAAAAATAACAATAATAAATATGTATGTTAACATAAATAACACTTAGTATGAACAATATATACATGCTTCCAAAAAGTTAGAAGAGTGGCATTGGTTTACACTTTTTTTTTTTAATCTCTGTCTTAAAGAAAAACCGTTAGTCTCATATCTGCTTCTGCATCCGATCTGCTGCAATATGTTATTTTGGTTAGAAAATTACAAGTCAGGCATGGTGATACATACCTACAACCCCAAAACTAAGGAGGCTGAGCAGCAGGATGGAGAGTTTAAGGCCACTGGGGCTAACTTGTGAGACCTTTTTGAAAGAAAGAGAAGGAGGAGATGGAGAAGGGAGAAAGGAAAAAATAAAGAAAATGAGGCTGCACACAAATGTGTAGATGGAAAAGGTTGTATGTCAATGTATAGTTCAGATAATTTTGAATCCTCTGATACATATCAATACCCACAAATAGATTTTTAATGGTTAGTTGAAAGGTAAAATCTGAAATCATTATTAGTCAGCTTTTATACTCTCTTGCCTTTAAATCCATTGATCTCTTCTGATTTTGACAAGATCTTTTTACCTATGCATGGTTTTGTAACATCGTTTATTGATCATTTGGAAAATATTAGTTCCTTGAATTATGCAGATCTTCCAGTGCTGGCATAAATACAGTGAACAATCATAATAGTTCATCTCACCACCAATCCTATCAGAAAAGACTCTTAAGTGTTGGGAAACTGACAGGCTTACAGTAACAGATAAAACTTTTTCAGAATTCTCATTTTTATTTGATGGCTTCCATTTTATCATTGGCAACAAATACTGTCAGACTTTTCCCTGAAGTAACAGGCTCATTTAACTCACTTCCAAAAAAAGAAAAAGTGTCTACCATATTCTTAAGTGTAGATAATCGTTGTTTATAGTCACTTTTTCTAAATGAAAATAGTGTTTCATTAAAAGGAGCAGGTATAGAGCTTTTAACTTGAACATCGTCTCATAAGAACCTTTCTTTAGTGCCTGTGCTGTGGTTTGTACTAAGGCCCTAGCAGTTTTAACTAAAAGAAAATAAAGTCTTAATAACTTGTGAAAATAGTCTTGACCTCATAAATTCCCTAAAAGGGGTCAGGAACCTCCCAGAACTCCACAGATAATATTTTGAGAACTGATGTACTACATTTTCCTTGAGTGCTTTATCCATCCAAAATGTTTACCCTGACATCTAGAGGAATGCAGTAATTTTTAACTGGCAACCAAGGTACTGAAAGCTCTTCTTCAGGTTGTGTCAGTTTCATAGGAACAGATAGTTTTTCAATCATACAGAAAGTAGAGGGGGAATTGAAAATGCTTATGGAATATTTAATGCTTATGGAATTTAAAATGCTTGTAGAATGTTTAAATATAAATACACTGTGTGTAATCAAGATGTGTACCTAAGGTGGGGAGGTGGGATCTGGATTTTTAGTGTCATTCATTAACATATAGTTTAAGTTAGGCATGTTCAGATCACTGAGGGAGTGTATATTTTTGTGGTGGAACCCAAGAAACAATAAAATGTAAGGCATCAAGAACAAAAAGGCACTAGTGAGAAAAAAGTAAGAGCTGCTACCAGTGGTAAGAATAGCAAGAAAAAGCTTGGCACAGTGGCTCAAGCCTAATTGCAGCTACTCAGGAGGTAGAGATCAGGAGATTTGTGATTCAAGGTCAGCCCAGGCAAAAAATTGAGAAGATCGCATCTCAGCCAATAAAAAGTTGGACATAGTGGTTCACACCTGTCATCTCAGCTAGGCAGTAAGCATTAATAGGAGGATTGGGGTCTAGGCCTGCCTAGACGTAAACATAAGACCCTACCTCAAAAATTACCAAAGCAAAAAGAGCTGGGGGCATGGCTTATGTGGTAGAGTGCCTGCCTAGCAAGTGCAAGGCCCCAAGTTCTAGCCCCAGTACTGACTTAAAAAAATAAAAATAAAAAAATTAATTGCAGAAAGCCAAAAGGAAGAGAACATTTGAAAGAAGAAACTGTTCAGCAGCATCTGATGCTCCAGAGAAGTCTTGAGTAAAGTGGCCTAATCAGTAGGTATCATGACCTAGTTGAGCCAACCATTCAGTGAAGTGATGAAAGCTTGAGTGCTACAGGTAGAACAGTGAATGGGATGGACTTGAGGAATGAATGACAAATCATCACAATCTATTTTGTCAAGAAATTTTGATATGAAAGTAAAAGAAAGGGGAACTAAAGAGTCATTTGGTTAGAAAGAGTTTTCAAGATTGGAAAAACCTGAGCATGGTTATTATGCCCAAGGCAGGAACATGTTAGCAAGGGACAGAGGAAAAGTACATGAAAGGACCCATCCCAGAGCTAGCCAGAGGACTGAAGATTATTCAAGAAGTAAAGCACAAAGCCTCTTTTCACTGAAGTAACTGGGAGAAAGACAAAGATAGCTAGATACTGCTAGGTTTCAGGTTCAGCAGAGAACTTAAGGAAAAATACATTATAGTCAGTGGAATAATCAAACTTGTTGATGGTGATAACTAAAGAATTTTGATTCAATTATTCTTTTCCATTTATTTTCTCTAGGCCAATAGAATCTAGACTTAAAAGTTTGTATCTTAAATAACAATAATAAATTGTTGCTAAAATTTATAGGTCCTTATAAGTGTCAAGCACCTTGCAGGTACTTCCCATGTATGATCCATGTAATAGCACTGAGAAATACAGATTATCATACCCATTTTATATATGGTGAAACAGAGGCAAGGCAGAGTTAAATAAACTTATCATTAAGTCCTAGAATTAATTAATTAATTTATTTTTTATTATTCATATGTGCATACAAGGCTTGGGTCATTTCTCCCCCTGCCCCCACCCACTCCCTTACCACCCACTCCGTCCCCTGCTTCTTCCCCCCCCTGGCCCCCTCAATACCCAGCAGAAACTATTTTGCCCTTATCTCTAATTTTGTTGAAGAGAGAGTATAAGCAATAATAGAAGGAACAAGTGTTTTTGCTGGTTGAGATAAGGATAGCTATACAGGGAGTTGACTCACATTAATTTCCTGTGCGTGGGTGTTACCTTCTAGGTTAATTCTTTTTGACCTAACCTTTTCTCTAGTTCCTGGTACCCTTTTCCTATTGGCCTCAGTTGTTTTTAAGGTATCTGCTTTAGTTTCTCTGCGTTAAGGGCAACAAATGCTAACTAATTTTTTAGGTGTCTTACCTATCCTCACCCCTCCCTTGTGTGCTCTCACTTTCATCATGTGCTCAAAGTCCAGTCCCCTTGTTGTGTTTGCCCTTGATCTAAAGTCCACATATGAATTTTTTTAGCTCAGAATTCTGTTCTTATGACTTAATTCACCCAGGGTATTTTTCAGGATGCCTTTTTTTTACTACCTCAATGATATATCTAGAGTAGAACAAAGAAGTCATTTTAATATTCATTTAAATGAAATATAAGGAGAAACTTTTCTTTAAAAAAAAGCATGCTGTGGGCATGGCTCAAATGGTAGAGCACCTGTCTAGCAAGAGCAAGGCCCTGAGTTCAACCCTCCAGAACCACCAAAAAAATTAAAATAATAGCAAAGCATGCTATATTCCAGTGCTACCCCCAAAATACCTTGAATTACCTATGGTTAATTTTTGTACCATTGCTTTGCTTTATTTAAAGTTGTAGAATATTGAAAATTAAATATAATGTTTCTAAGACAGTCATTCCTAAAATTTTAATGTTAAATGTTTCAAATTTTTAGAGGATAAAGCAAAAGCAGAAATATTAAAATCTGTAAAATATATATATGATCATTCATATGTATAAATAATTGAGCAGGTACTCAGTGTTACAATTGATATTCCATGCCATGTTTGAATTTTTTGGTTGTAGTTTTGTTTTTTTGAGACAAGGTCTCACTGTGTAGCCTAGGATGGCCTCAAACTCATAATCTTCCTGCCTCAGCCCCTGAGTGCGGGATTACTTTCTTTTTCCACCACATCTGGCTTTGTGTATGTGTGCTAAAACCCGGGGCTTGGTCCATGCTAATCAGGTTACCACTGAGCTATGCTATGCACCCAGCACTTGTGCTATTTTAAGTATACTCTTAAAAGAAAATTCAACACAAAGAAAAAATTCTCAGACAGTACAAATAACTTACATGTTTGCATTTTTTTCTATCAATTGATAATTTTAATAGGTTTTTGAATCTGAAAATTCAAGAAGGTGAAGCTCACAACATTTTCTGCCCTGCATATGATTGTTTTCAACTTGTACCTGTGGATATCATAGAAAGTGTAGTTTCTAAGGAGATGGACAAACGATACCTACAGTTTGATATTAAGGTATGCTGCCATTTATTATTTTAATTTTATTAAACAATATTTTTGTGTTATTTCTGAGAAACAAAATAATCTCTAATTTTTGTTTCTCAGAAAAACTGACTAAAGGAATTATGACATCAATTAAAATTTTGAGCAATTATTTTATAAAAATAGCAGGGAAAATGAAAGGATAAAGTAGCAATTCTCTCCCCAAAAAATGAGTTATTGCTCAGAAGTATTTACTAATTTGCTTATTGCACATTTATAACTGTTTGGTCAAGATAATGGTCAAAGTATATAGGCCCTACTTTAAGTTTTCTAAAAGATTTTATCCTAAAAATAAATATTCTTTAACAATTTTTTTAAGTTAGAAATTTGTGGGGTTTTTTTGTTCTAAGTAATAGTTTCATATAACAAATTTTAATGTTTCATCTTTTTTCTTTATTTTCTTTCAGAAATTATTCAGCAGTATATGAAAATTACTCTGATTTTATGTGATTTAAAAGCTACATTTTAATTGCTTTCTGCAGATTTTTCTTAATCTATACTAATTTTATGTACTTTTAAAAAGGACGCACTGCTTTAACATCAAAAGCATCATCATAGTTTTGATTTTTGTGTATTAAGTGCCATTTATAAATTTACTTTTCTAATACAACTAATGATTATATATAAGAATCTACTTAGAATATTTTATCTGAAATGTGGCACATTATATGACAAAATATTTTCTGTGTAAATAATTACATTTTTACTTTGTCATCATTTATCTGATTTTAAGATTAAAGAAAATAAGTTTTGAAAATCATGTCATTTTCGAAAAAACTGAGGTTTTTGCTACTTTTTTCTGTAAGTTTTTTTCAGTATTTTCCAATACTATTTTTAGTATCTTTTGAGACTAATGGCTCCTTGAATTTTTGTTTCATTCTTTTGCTTTTAATTGCTGTGGAGCTACACTCCATATTAGAATTTACACCTGAAATAGTTTTTGGTTTTTGTTTTTACTGCACAAACAGGCCTTTGTTGAAAATAATCCTGCCATTAAATGGTGTCCTACTGCGGGATGTGAAAGGGCAGTCAGGCTAACGAACCAAGGGTCAAACACATCTGGAACTGACACACTCAGCTTCCCATTGCTGAGAGCCCCTGCTGTGGACTGTGGGAAAGGACACCTCTTCTGCTGGTTAGTACAGACAAGTTACAATCAGCCTCACCACTTTCCTAACAATTCTATTTTGAATCAAGCATTTAAATTGTGCTATTCTTGATGTTATTCTTATTAACTTAAACATGTGTAATAAATAGTGACATGCCAGGCACTACGCAAAAGTTTTTTTTGGTAGTACTGGGATTTGAACTCAGGACCTGGAGCTTGCTTGGCAAGTGCTCTACCACTTGAGCTGCACCCTCAGACCTTTTTGCTTTAGTTATTTTTCAGATAGGGTCTTGTACTTTTTCCCTGGCCAACCTTGGACCATGATCCTCCTACGCCTGCCTCCTGTGTTACTGGTATTACAGGCATGAACCACCACACCTGGCTTGTTTTTTTTTTAGATAGGATCTTGCTAAGTTTTCCCTAGGCTGGCCTCAAATCATGTTCCTCCTGTTTCTGCCTCCTGAGGACCTGGGATTACAGGCATGGATGACCAAATATTTTTTAAATATTGAATTCTTCCAGCAATGTTATGGATAGAATTCTTTTATTATGCCCATTTTGAATGTAAAGAAATTCAGGTGCATACTAAAAGCTAGGTAGGGCTGTCTAGGTCTTCCTCAGACAGACACAACTTGTTCCCTACTGCTACCTCTTCCCAAGATCACCGCTTTTCCACCTCCAAGTTCAATACTTTGTGTTTTCTGTTGTTGGGCACTTAGGAGCCTAGAACCCCTGGGCCATTCTGTTGAATGGATGGATGGGATGGAAGGGAGGGAAGGAAGGAGAGAGACAGAAGGGAGGGGAGGACAGGCAGGGAGGAATTCAGGCAGGAAAGAGCAGAAATGATATTGTCTATAATAACAAAGTTGCTGACCATAGGTTTAAAAATATTACAGTTTAACTTCTCTTCTTAAAACATAAGCCTTTAGTAATGATCTTTAACTGGGCCCACACAAGTGAGATTTTGATTTAGTAGGTTTTTGAGTGGTGTTCAAAAACCAAACGAAAAGAAACACCTATATCAGTTGATACTAATACATAGTTCTAGTTAGGAGGCAATAACTATAGGCTTTTTCTGTGTCATGTTTTGTTTAGTTTTTACATCTTCATAGATCCTGAATAAGGATGACTTGATAATAAACAGCAACGGGAAGGATGTAATTCTGTATGCTCATTGAACTGTAAATAAGTCAGCATTCTGCTTTTTTCATAGATTTGGTTCACTGTCTTGTTTAAATAATTACATGATCAAAAAAATAGGTATTTATTCTGCTTTTTATTTTCTGAAGTAGCACACATGAATGGTTATATCATAGATGGGTATAAAACTCTAGTTTTTCTAATAGGTATAGGCAAAGACTTTCTCAATGGAACCCCAGCAATTCAGCAACTAAGAGATAGCATAGATAAATGGGACTTCATAAAACTAAAAAGCTTCTGCTCAACAAAAGAAATGGTCTCTAAACTGGAGAGAACACCCACAGAGTGGGAGAAAATATTTGCCAGCTACACATCAGACAAAGGACTGATAACCAGAATACACAGGGAACTTAAAAAACTCAATTCTCGCAAAATTAATGAACCAATAAAGAAATGTGCAAGTGAACTAAGCAGAACTTTCTCAAAAGAAGAAATTCAAATGGCCAAAAACACATGAAAAAATGCTCAGCATCTCTAGCAATAAAGGAAATGCAAATGAAAACCACACTAAGATTCCACCTCACCCCTGTTAGAATAGCCATCATTAGCAACACCACTAACAACAGGTGTTGGCGAGGATGCGGGGGAAAAAGGAACCCTTTTATACTGCTGGTGGGAATGTAAACTAGTACAACCACTCTGGAAAAAAATTTGGAGGCTACTTAAAAACCTAAACATTGATCTACCATATGATCCAGCAATACCACTCTTGGGGATATACCCAAAAGACTGTGACACAGGTTACTCCAGAGGCACCTGCACACCCATGTTTATTGTGGCACTATTCACAATAGCCAAGTTATGGAAACAGCCAAGATGCCCCACTACTGACGAATGGATTAAGAAAATGTGGTATCTATACACAATGGAATTTTATGCAGCCACGAAGAAGAACGAAATGTTATCATTCGCAAGTAAATGGATAGAACTGGAGAACATCATTCTGAGTGAGGTTAGCCTGGCCCAAAAGACCAAAAATCGTATGTTTTCCCTCATATGCAGACATTAGATCAAGCGCAAACACAACAAGGGGATTGGACTTTGATCACATGATAAAGCGAGAGCACACTAGGGAGGTATGAGGATAGATAAGATACCCAAAAAACTAGATAGCATTTGTTGCCCTCAATGCAGAGAAACTAATGCAGATACTTTAAAGCAACAGAGGCCAATAGGAGAAGGGAACCAGGAACTAGAGAAAAGGTTAGTTTGAGATGAAGTAATTTAGAAGGTAACACACATGCACAGGAAAGCAATGCAAGTCAAATCCTTGTATAGCTATCCTTATCTCAACTAGCAAAAACCCTTGGTCCTTCCTATTATTGCTTATACTCTCTCTTCAACAAAACTAGAGATAAGGGCAAAATAGTTTCTGCCGGGTAGCGAGGGGGTGGGAGGGTAAGGGACAGGGCCCTGACCTGTCTATTTCTGCCATCATCGTTAACTACAGATATTTATCAAACTATCAACGTATAGATAACACCAAGTTGTAGGTCAGAGGTTAGCAAACTACTGTGTGTGTCTGATTTTGAAGTTTCATTGGAACACAGCCACACAGTTTGATGCCACTTGATTTATGTATTATCTGCTTCTGCAGAATTGAGTGAAGCAAAATTGAGTAGTTACTAGAGAGACTATGGCCAGCAAAACTCTTTTGCTGACCCCTGCCCTATGTACTTGGATATAGTTGTTAATGAAAAGAAAACACTCATTATACTGAGCAAATAAAACAGCAGCAAAATACTGAGCAACAGGTTATATCACATGCCTTAAGATAATTTTTCAGAACATATAGAAGAGAAATTCTAATCTTGAAAGTTTAACATTTTATTATTCATGTTTGGTTACTAATTACACCTCACTAATGTGACATGAGAGATAAGGCTGGAACTATAGAATGAGAAGGAAGTTAATTTGCTTTATTGCTAGCAAATAAATGGAATTTAGATGAATATGAATCTACTGTAAAGTAAAAACTTTAAAGTATAAATGAACATCTCTTCTGAGTCAGTGGGAGGTTTCTTGAGAAAATTAAACTCTGTTCCCCTAAGACACCCATTGTGTGCTTCCTGTGCTTCTGGAATAGTACTGGTTTTTTGCCATCCTTGAGAATATTGAGAAAAATTAGCACATAAATCATTTTATGAGTACTCTGGTTCACATGATGAATCCTTGCTGAGAAAGGCTGATTCTTAGTGGATTAATTGGAGATATGACAGAGAAGGAAAACAAAAATTAGTAAAATGTCTTAAAGACAAAACAATATAGCATTTGTGAGATCACAGAAAAATAAAAATTTTGAAGGGAAAAGAAAAACCTGTGGTTAGCATTGTCTTAAGCTCTGTGGTTTCTGTGGTTTAATTTTACTAGCTGTCACTGTAGTTTAGCTTTTGCTTTTTTTGTGTTCTTCCCCATTCTGTTTGTGCTATGCTCCAAGTAGTAAGTTTGATTTGACCCAAGATAAGTAAAACTGCCAGAATAGGTCATACTCTTAAAACTGTGTGTATACATTCATATAAACATAGACCATGTTATAAACTGTAACAATAGTTTTTAGACCAAATTTGGACAAATGTGTTTTTTTTTGTTTTTGGTTTGTTTGTTTGTTTTGGTTTGGTTTGGTTTTTGGCAGTAGTAGAGTTTTAACTTGGAGCCTTTTACTTACTTAGGTGTGCTATCACTTGAGCCATTACTCCCTGCCCAGTCCTTTTTTGTTTTTTAAGTATGTTTTAGAAAGGACCTCACATTTTTTGCTCAGGGCAAGCTTGACCATGATCTTCCTACCTATGACTTTCTTGCAGCTAGAACCATAGGTATATGCCACATCTCAAGCAACAATAAAAGAACTTAGCAAATAGAATCATCATTTTCTAGACTTAGCACCTGGGGGAAAGTGAATGAAGTAACTTGAATGAAATAGGTTTTATGAAGGCCAAACTCAGATTTAAGTTCTTCAACTTAATTGTTTTCTGTTCAGTTTTGATATTCATTAAGCTATTAGTTTGTGAGGTAGATTCTCTAGGATTTTACATTGTCTATTTCACCTTTCTAGACATTATTTTACAATCCCTGTGTTTACATTCTTAACCTCTTACTCAGAGTGTGAGAACTTTGACTATAATCAGAAATTCAAAATAGAAATGATCACATTTTCTGCTGCTGTCATTTCTTATTTTAGTAAGAAATAAAATCTATAAAAGGAAGTTCTGCAAGAACTACATGTGACAGAATCAGTTGAGCCATGCCCAGGAGATATCTTTCTGGGTATAACTGAATGTATCATTGTTGGGCGAGAAAGTATTATTTGCAGTTTCCTTTCCACCACAGGAGAGCCTTTCTTTTGTAACTTGTTCACCATTGAGTTCTGTGCCCTTCGTAACTGAGTGCAGGATGCTTTCTTCCCTTGGCCATTATAATTAGAGTTTCTGATCTGGGCAAATGGTATTCAGAGCTGGGTGGAATTTGACTTGGACCAATGATCTTTTTCCCTTTTTCTTCGTATTAAGTAGAATATGCTGCTATGTAACTTCTCTGCCCTCTGAGCTAGCACAAAGTCTGTCTTTTCTTAGACAATACTTTCAAAGATTTGTTGTGAAAAATACTTCTTGGCCACCACTATTCTTATCTGTCAAGAGAAGAACTCAAATTTAACCTGGTATAATAAGTCATTTCTCTTCTATTTTGCTTCAGAGTGCTCTCTGTCCTTAATTTTAATCATGAATATGTCTATTGAAAACTGAGAACCTTACTTGGAATTCTTTTCATAGTCCAGAAACAGTAAAACGTATTTCAGAGTTATTTGCTCACATTTACTGGCAAGAATATTC